CTAACCTCTATAATCAATCATTGGGGAGCTATGGGTAAGACATTCATAGATATTGAATCCACAAAAAATCGAATTCCTGTTGTTATTTTGTATTTAAAAACGGTCACGTTATTACTACTACTCTCAATATTGGATTTCTTCTCCCAAACGTGTTACACCAGGTGATTATTGCACAATTGCTCAATTTTATACAATTTTATCATCTTCACCATTTTTAAGTAACGTTTTTAGCAGAAGAATTTTTGTGTATTGAGGGTTCGTGTGGGCCTGCTCTTGGACGTAGGTGAGAATAGATAGCAAAGACCCATGAGAAATTTCCTTCTTAAACAAAAGACTAGTTTGGTTTTTTCTTGAGCAAGATTGAATAGTTTAGCAGTCCCCCAGAGACGAAAAGGAACAAGATTGAATGGTTTAGCGCTCCCAAAAGACAAAAAAATTGAAGGATCAATGTTGTAAGATTGAAATATCATCCCTAGGCTTGTTTCTTTCGTTCTACATTTTTTTATGCTGATTTGTTGTCAATTTTGTGGTTTAGTCCTCAATAATATTGATTGTTTTGTACTTATAATGAGTCATTGTATAGGTGACCAAAGCTGCCTTTTTTTTTTTTTTTTTTTTTTGTACTTCTTAACCCACCATGTTTTAAAGTGACAGAGTCCCCCAATTCAGTTTAAAGATTAGTTTGTTTTTTTTCCTTGAACAAGATTTAATAGTTTAGCACTCCAAAGACTAAAATTGAAGCATCTACGTTAGAAGATTGAAGTATCCCAGACTTCTTTCTTTCGTCCTACATTTTTTATGCTGATCTGTTGTCAATTTTGCTGTTTAGTTAATTAATTGGACTCAATAATATTGATCATTTTTTACCTAAAATAAGTCATAGTATGCATGACCATAGTTTTTTTTTTTTTTTTGGTGTACTTCTTAACCCACCATATTTTAAAGTGACAGGAGTCTCCCATTATAGTTTTTATTTAATCATTAATGAATTATGCAGTATACACATGAAAGAGTAATACAAAAAGTTTTAAAATAGATCCAAAGCAATGACCAAGAATAAATATTGTTGTTTTTTTATTTCATTAAAAAATATTGTTGTGAAGGGACTCAATCTTGCTTGCCAAAAATATATAAATACTATTATCGAGTACTTTTTTTTTTTGTTGAAAGTGTGTTTGGATTGTAAGTTATTTGAGATATTTTTACTGTAGCACTTTTTGTGATGTGATGTATGTGAGATAAAAAGGTAATTGGGAAGATAAAAAAGTGTATTGAAAATTGTAATGATGATGTAAGCAAATATATTTGGGCAAATAACTTACAATCCAAACTTATACTATTATCGAGTACTAATTAAAACAAATGGATAGGAGATTATTTGAAATATTATTTGGAATTATCCTTGTAGTTCTTTTTATGATGTAATAAATGTAAAATAAAAAGGTATCTGAAATGATAAAAATTTGATAAAAATTTGTGTTTAGACGCAAGTAAAATAATTTTTTTATTAATATTATATATGTTAGATAAAAAAAACAGTGTTTGAAAAGATAAAAAAATTGATTGAAATTATGTTTATGATGTAAACTTAATAATTTTTAGGATAATTTTGCTATCTAAACACATATTGAGTAGCAATAATTTTTTTTTTAAGTAAGTCATGTGAGGTTGAAAGTTAAATTAGAAACCTCATAGGTATCTTGAAAATGCCTTTCTATTTACCAATTGAATTGCATCTTGGGTTTTATGAGAGTCAAAATTTAGAAATTTTGGATTTAAATCTTCCTTCCCCCTTATTAATACGGTTCCGATGTCCAAAATTTTCCCAAAACTCTTCTGACCATTCCGATGTCCAAAACTCTTCCGCTGTCCTGCTGCCAAAGCTGTTGATCAAGGGACCATTTCAAAAAGAAAAAGGGCGGACAGGGGACCCCTGAGTTAGCTTCAGCTGAGGAATTACACTTTGTCCCAATTGCATAATCTTCCTTTCTTGAATTTAGAGGGGCTTGGGTTCCCTTGGGGGGATCGTATGGCCTGCACTGTCAAGTCCTTTTTTCCTTCTCTGCTCTTTTCCTTTATTAAAGTAACAAGTACAACTCTAGCAATCACAATCTTGTCTATTAAGGCATTTAGTTAAATCTGATTATATTGGAATATTCCGTGCCCAAACAAAAAAAAAAAACTTTTTCTTCGTAGAAGCACTCTTTTAGTCTCTGAATCATTCCATCAAGCACAGAGCAACAAGCAGCAGGTAATTGGAAACTGAAGACAGAGATTCACAGGTTTGTATTTAATTTTCTTGATCTTTCTTTGTTATTCCACTCTCATGTCAGCTAAAATCGTTCAACTAAGCAGTTGTATGCGTGCCCTTTTGCAGAAGTTTAGAGTATTGTAGTATATTTTGTGTAGCAAAATTATGCGGTTAATTGTTGAATAGAAGTTTCAAAAACAAGAAGAAATCATCACTAATACAAAAGGGATCGTTTCAACATGCATGAAATACATAAATTTTGGTCAGAAATAATTGTATGTAAAATCTGATCGCTAAAGCTGTAACTCCAATTGCAGGAAGTTACGATTCAGTTTGGAAAATGAAATTTACTGCCTTTTAGCCCTGTAGCCGAGAATGCTGTTATATTGGAGGATAATTTGGCTAAAAAAAAAAAAAATCAAAGATCCCACTTATGAGCATCAATAAAGATTTGAATAAGGATATATTTAATTGGAACTTTTCTGTTTTGACTATCTGAAAGTTTATTGGGTTACTAATGTTGGAAAAGATGGCCATTAATCATGTAACCTTTCTTTAATCTTAGATTAATGCATCATTAAAACATAGGCAATAGTGGTCATTTGAAACAAGAATTAGTTTAGTTTTTGTTGTGGTACTTATTCGTATCTTCTGCACCACTTTCCCTAGAGCCTTGAAGTCACTTGCTTTAGCTATGCTAACAATTATATCCGGAATCCATGAGCTAGTGGAGAAGTATTCATTGCATTGCTTTGTCATCAGTAGTTTTATCTTTTACATTATAATCTTCCTCTGTTTAAGAAGTTGATTAGGGGTATGATCCATGACTTTTATAAGGAACTGGGGAATATCTATACCAGATCAATGGATAACCAAAAGGTGCATGTGCAGATAAATAAAGGGGGGAAATAAAAACTTGGCATTTGATTTTTGTTCATGTACACACACTCATGAGCTAATAGGCATGTACTTTATGTTAGTGTGCCCATAAATGTTAGCATGTTACAAAGTATTTGGTGGACAAATAACTTTCATCAATTGGTCAGGCACTTGATCTGATGGTGATAATATTATTGTTTCATTCCTGAGCAGATTTCAAATTCATGCTATAGTATTACAATTACTTTCTTTCTTTCTAAAATGAGTAATCATTTATACCATCAAACAGGGGTCTTGCAGCGGCAATGGACCAGAATAGTGTGGAACTGCAGGCAGAAAAAATTCTTAAACTTCTCAAGGAAAAACATGTGTCAACAATTGTTCTTTCTGGGAAATCAGGAAGTGGGAAAACATGGATGGCAAGAAAAGTTGGTCTGCCGGCAGTCAAAAAGAAAGTAGTTGACATTACACTTTGGATTTCTCTGAGTATTAGGCATGATGAGACGTCTCTTTATGAGCATATTGCTCATCAGTTATCTCTACTTTCCACTTCTGTGGAGCTGGAAAATTATGATATCCAGGAGGTAGAGAATAATGTTGGTAAGGAGGAAACCTTGGAGAGCTTGAAAGAAAAGGTACGCGCAAGACTTTCAACTGATAATGTTCTTCAGGGGGTTCTTGTAATTTTGGATGATGAAGGAAACAAAATGAGGGAAGGGGATGGAGGCTTAGAACAAGCCCTTCACTCTATCCAGCAGAATTCCCACAACCATTCAACAACAGCTGCTGATGGAGATGGACGGCAAAAACTTAAGGTGCTGATAACTTCTAGAAATGAAGATGGAAGGCACCAAACCCAGGGAGGTAAGGAAGTGGTTGAAATGATGCCTCTAACTCCAGAAATGTCAATTTTGTTGTTAAAGCAAGGAGCTATGGCAAAAGTTTTTGAAATTCCAGGTGTAGAAAGTGTAGTTGCAAGGTTCATCAATAGAAAAACAGATCTTGCACCTGGTGAAGTGTCCTTGCTAGCAAAACTATTAAGTTACCATCAACAAGTTTCTGAACTGCAGGGCCTGGAACACACTTTGGAAGAAGCATGGTATGGTGAGAACTACAACTGCACCCAGCTGCTCTTAAGTGGATATGAAAAGGTGTCAGATGGTATTTTAGTTGACTTTTCTTGGCAGGGCAGCCATTTTTTCCGTGATAATGGATTTGTTCACTACAGTGAGTTGATATCATACTGGATACTGGAAGGATATCTTGGTCCTGTTAATAGTCTTGAGGAGGCTTATAAGGAGGGGCACCGCATTTTGATGCACCTCGTGGACTGTCAAATGTTGAAAGAAGTGAATGATGATTTCGTCTACATGGTGAGAGTAACTGGGGATGTTTCTTATTGTCATCGTTGTGGTTATGGAGGAACAGCTAATCTGGGGTTGGCTAATGTGCTTGTTAAAAGTAATGATTGGCAGGGTATTGGAAAACTCACAAAGGTGGATGGTATGATCAGAACACTTGGCAGTTATAAAAGAGTGCAGCAATCATTAACACTTTTACTAGATGGCAACTGTCTCAGCAGGGAAAACCCAAATAATCTCTTACTCAGCAATCAGGAGCTGAAAATTCTGGGTCTTTTCAGTCTCGAAATTGTATCCTTTCCTCATTCTTTCAACAACTTCAAAAAACTGAATGTTCTTGTGCTCAGGGACTGTGATTTCTTAGAAAAGATCAATGACATTCGAGAACTAATGACATTAACTGTCCTTGAAGTATCTGGTTCTGGCTTGGTGAAAAGTATGCCAAAAACTTTTTTCAGTACCTGAAGAAACTTCGTAGCCTCCACTTCTCCGACTTTCAGATTGAAGTCATGCCTGATTCTTTTTATCACCTTACAGAACTCAGCTGGCTCATTCTAAAAAGGTTTTCTCATTTAACAAAGTTGCAGAGCCTGAAAGAATGTCAAAACCTTATGGTTGTTGATCTTTCTGGTGCTGCCTCCTTGCCGACTTTTCCAGAAAAGAACTTGAAATCATTGCCGAAACTTCAAACATTAAATCTTTCAAACTCCAAGATCAAATCTTTGCCTATTTTTCATGAAACTGGAGAGCTTACTCATCTATCAGTTAGCGGCTGTAGCAACATGGATAGAGTGCCCAGCATTCGGTCTCTAACAAATCTGCAAGTTCTTGATCTTTCATGGTCAACCATAGTGGAGTTCCAGGACAAGTCATTTCAAAATAATACAAGTCTGAAGATCCTTGATTTATCTGGAACTGCTATTCCTTCATTACCTTTTAACATCGGTAAACCCCGTGAGTTCTATTTGAAAAATTGCTCTGAGATAAAATACATGAATTGTGTTGAATCTTCCGAAGAACTAGAGATACTTGATTTTTCAGGTGCCTGTAATCTTGTAAAAATTGAAGGAAAGTTCTTTGAACGTTTAGAAAATCTCCGAGTTCTCAACCTGTCAGGAACAAAAGTCAAAGATCTACCATCCCTTTCTGCTCTCCACAACCTCCGTCAGCTGTTACTTTCATGTTGTCTGAATCTGGAGAAGTTGCCAAGGTTGGCTTCAAGCAAACTCGAAGAGCTCGATCTATCTGGCTGTAAGGCAATGACAATGATAGAAGACAAATCTTTTGAGCACCTACCTCGCCTTCGTCGGCTTGTCCTCTCTCAAACAAAGATTGTACACTTACCAGAACTCAACTCCCTTTCAAATCTTGAGGAGCTAAATCTGAGTGGTGTTAAATCATTTACCGGAACTGATTTCATAGAGCACATGAGTAAACTTCAGGTTCTAAACCTCTCCGAGACCTTGCTTAAAGAGCTACCTGCCTTAACGAATCTCAAAAGCCTTGAGCATCTGTTTTTGAGGGGCTGTGGACAACTAGAGGTTCTCCCTGTCTTGGAAGTACTTCACAACCTTGAGACTCTAGATATTTCTCAAACAGCACTGAGGCAACTGCCGTTTGTAGGAAGTTTGAGTAACCTGCATAAACTGTTGCTCAGAGACTGTTCAAAATTGGAAAACTTTAAAAACCACAAGCTGCTTGACATGTCTGGATTTGAAAATCTCCCTTGTGGAATCTCGAGATTGACTCAGCTGCAACATCTTGCTTTACCCAGTATGAAGGAAGACATCCAAGCAGCAGACACCAATGAGGTAACTAGCTGGAAGCAAAAGCCTAGTGCATCACATTGGTCCTTCTCCGTTGTGGATCGAACGGTACCAAACACTAGCAGATCTTTACTTTCTTATAACGGTTCACTATTTCTTGAATTTCTGGACAGCAATCCTTCTGTATTGGACTCAACCTCAAATCATTTCCATCTCTTTGTTCATCCTACTGAGGTGCAAAATGGTGCAAGGGACATGCTCTTTCACAGGGATGAATTGGTTTTCAGAGATGTCTATCTATTAACTAGGCATTGTTCTAAATCTCAAGGCCGGTTAGTGGAGATTCATCATCTGAGTGCTTTTTCCGAGGGCATTGAGGATGTACTTCATGATGCTGAGTATATATTCTTTTGATAGTTTGTTTTTCAAATCAATTTCTGATTTAGGTGCTGGCAACATCAAGACGTTGAAAGGTGGTTGGATTGAGGGATGTGAAAATATGGAGTTCGTTATCGAGACGAGCGACTTAGTAGGCAGTGGCGAACGGGGGATAGCACTTGAGATTTTATGGATTTCAAATGCATCGAGTTTAAGGAGCATGTACAGTGAAAACCTGCGGTTGGGGAGCTTTCAGAATCTGAAGTGCTTGTATCTAGATTGTTGCCCAAAGCTGTTGAGTGTTTTCTTTTCATCCCACCTGCTGCAGATGCTTGAAATTCTTCATGTCAGATTTTGTGAGAATTTGGTGGCTTTGTTTGGAGATGATGTAGAAGAGCATAAATTGCCAAACTTACGAACATTGCGTTTGTGGGAACTACCAAAACTGAAAAGCATTGGGTGCATAATGCCGTCTCTACAAAGTTTAGAAGTAGGCGAGTGTCCGATGCTTGGACACATGCTATCTTCACTTCATGTACCAGAAAAACTTGAGGTCCTTAAAGTCAGAAATTGTAGTGAGTTGGGCAATTTGCTTGAAGGATTGACACCAGACAACTGCAAATTGCCTCATCTAGCTGAAGTTCACCTGTGGGGATTACCAAAGCTGACACGAATTGGGATTGAATCACCCTTGTTGAGATCTTTAGAAATTGGAGATTGTTCTGTGCTTTTACATGTTAGTTCTCGAACGGATATGCCAGAAAACCTGGAGGTCCTCAAGGTCAGATTCTGTGACAACTTGGAAGCTATATTTGTTGGCATGACATCTGAAAATTTCATACTGCAAAGCTTACATACAGTTCATCTTTGGGGTTTACCAAAGCTGGTCGGCATTGGTGCCAGATTGCCACCTCTGCAGAAGTACATTATCAGGGACTGTCCCAAACTAGCTCTCCCGGTGTCATGATTGGCCAGCTCTTTAACCACATCGCAGGATTTGTATGGCATAATTTCCTAACAAATGCTAAAGGGAAGATGTTAGCTGCACTGTGAATGGTAGAGGAATGTATTCTTAACATGGTACAAGCTGTTCCAAACCAGATTGCCTTGTTTGCTATTAACATGGGCAGGAATTGTCCCAAACTAGATTTCTTTGTTTGCTATTAACACATTTTTGGTGAAATTTTGGAGCATTGTAAATTATTTTAGGGTACGTTTGGTTCTACAGAATTAGAATTGAATTAGAATTGAAATTCTATAGAATTGGAATTCTATGAATTGGAATTCCAAGTCATTTCAATTCTTTCGTTTGGGAAATGCAGAGAATTGATACGGAATTTATTTGAAATTCCAAATTCTTTGTTTGTATGAGAGAAGAATTCATTAGGAATTAGAATTGTTTCCAACTAATATTTCCTTACATAAAAAATTTCTTTTTTTTACTATATAATAATTTTTTAACATTTAGCTAATTGTTACTAAAGCTTTAAGGAAAAAACCAATTAGTACCTTTAATAATTTATTTTTTCTTGCATTTAACTAATTGTTAATAAAGCTTTAAAAGAAAAAAATTAGTTCCTTTTTTGCAAAAATAAAAAATTCTTTTTTTAAAAAAATTAAATTAAATTAAATAAAAAATAATTGTATATTCTAACTTAAAAAGTAGTTAATATTTATCGAGTTAAAACCTTGATACGTTTTTAAAGTTAAGAACTTTAAATTTTAGATTGGCCACATCGCAGGATGTTAGCTGCACTGTGAATGGTAAGAGTAATGTATTCTTAACATGGTACAAACTGTTCCAAACCAGATTAATTTGTTTGCTGTTAACACATTTATTTTTGGTGAAATTTTAGAGCATTGTAAATTATTTGAGTTTTTGAGTGCTTTCATTATTTTGTCTAAACCAATTTAGGTAATTTTTCACTATAATAATTTATCTTTAAATTGCATTAACTGTAATTTTTTGTCTATTTTGTTAATTTACACATATAATCAAAATATATTGGCACATTTCTTTTCGCTGTTTCAAGTGAAAATGCGACAGAAAATAAGTTTCAAAATGAAAATGGTACATTTTGAATCTGTGAGAGATCAAACTTATTATTTGAATAAAAAACTAAAAAGGTGTAAAACTAATTAAATATAACTTACATGATTTTCTAATTTCAAATGCTTTATTTCTTTTAACATCACAAACTTTCAACTTACATAATAAATAAAATCAAGTAAAAAATAAAATACTCGATATGAACCTTGTCTTTTTTTACTGTTAAAATTTGATTCCTTCCGTTAGATTGAGCCTAACTCACTACAGTACTGCAACAAATTTTTCATTTTTTCTTCTTTATAAAATGCCTATTATGTTGAGGGGTTTGGCACGAAACTCTACCCACTTATTAACTTCAATCAAAAAATACAACAGAGGGAACATAAACCTTACTTCTAATTACACGGGAAAATATGGAAATCAGTGTCAGTACAACACCCATATGACCAACTTGCCATTAAATCTGGTGCAGAATTCCCTTCTCTAAGAAAATAGCAAAACTTTTATCAAGTACCAATTGAAAACAAACTTATCGGAGATCATTTGCATTAGAACATTGGAATCCAGCTCAATTTCAATCTTTGAGATACACAGTTGAAAACAAACTTGCAGACCGTGAATCAAAGCGTGAAATTCAACTTGTAAACTTGACAGGTAACCCAACCTGGTAGAAAAAGCTAACAAAATTCCATCCGGATTCCTTAACATATTTCCTCCACTTCTAATTCTCGAATTCCCTCTAGAACTGCCATTCGTATTAAGCTTAAACCAATGGGGTGAAGGGTTCAAACACCTTACATCCGAGTAACACAATAGATTTCAAATTCCAAACAATTAAAAATTTGTCTTTATTAGATCATTCCAGATTTATTTATCTTTATTTATGCAAAACGGTTAAAAAATTGTCTTTCACCACTTCTTGGTACCTGACAGGTCGTCAACCTGTGCAATAATAATAATAAATATAAAACCTAGCTACCACTAAGAGCAGTCAATAATTAATCCTAGGTACTGGAGCAGGGACTCTAGATGTGCAATGGGTTACTTGATTCACCCTGTTCCCGAAGAGTTTGCTTAATCCGATATACCAGAATTAATTAATTGACAAAAATTACTAAATAGTAGACAGTGGCAAGTAGGGTCGTCTCCTCAGGGACTGGAGATATTTGTCTCTTTTAAAAGTCCAATTGATAAGGGGGGATTTTACTGGAATGAAACTAAAAATAATCAGACAATTTAATTAAAAAATGAATAAATCACTAGCACGAATATAGCAGGAATTTAATCAGGAATAAATAAATTCTAGCCAAGGATACAACTACTCAAGCACAGTTCCTTTATCTGATCATTGATGCAGCAGAGGTTCACTTAATTTATTAATAGGCTAGTTATAGTCCGACGACCAATTTTTCCTTAAATTATTGATAACCAAGGTACGACCGTTGATTACCCCTAATCAGCAAATACTCCCAGGTACGACCATAGGAATTAATTTTCCAATTGCATTAATAACTAGAAAAACCTAGCCCTAATCAATAACACGCTACGAGAGTTATTTAAATTAGATCGCACGTTTCCCTAATGTGTAAACACACCAGTTGCCACTAATATTAATCAATCAAACAATTACGGATTTAATTGACTAAATTGGCACGAGATTAATATATCACAATGAACATCGGGCCCTGGACATCCAATTAATAAAATAATCCCATGAAAATTAAATCAGGCAACATGCAAATATTAATAGATAAAAGAACACGTGAAAACTAATTAGATCTCACAGATTTGCAGGACTGCGCCGTCGAGTTGACCCTTGACTAGATGGAAGACTTAGCCACGCCGCATAATTAAATCACCACACGAATTAATAAATTTCCAAGGCATTGTTCTTTTTACTAACAAGTAAGGAATAAAGGATGTTTTTCCCGTTGGGGAATTTTGTCGAACACCTGGCGTGTGTCAGAGGCCAGTCAAAAGAAGGAAGAACTAAAACTACCCTAAAAGACTAAAACTAGAGATCAAAATAAAAGTCAGCCGTCTTCTGTACGTTTGTTCCCTATTTAAAGCCAAAAGAAAAATATCCAGTGGTCCCCACCAATTGGACACAAGCTGCCGAATTCATCTCCTTGTTTTGAGCCTCTGCGCGGTCCCCACCAATTGGCCACAAGCTGCCGAATTACTTCTTGTTCCTAAGGCTTTGTACGTTGCCTTTACTAGCTCTTGTAGCTCTTGTGGTCCCAGCCAATTGAGGCTTTCTGCTGGAGTCTCCCAAATTTGCATCCAAAAGTCCATCTTTTTGTAGTTATCTGCTCCACTCCTGGAATTTGGTCCAGATATCAAATATGAGTAAATATCAGCAATTAACACAATATTTGTCCGGGATAGAAGGGGAAATTAATAATAAAATTACTAACAAATTATACCCTATCAATTCCCCCCACACCTAAATCATGCTTGCCCTCAAGCATGGGAAAAGTGGACAGACCCCAAGAATCATATATCGGTCATCACTCTAATCTACCACATTGCCAAGAGATTCAAGAGAAAATCATATGTCGGGCACTAGTAGTTAAAATCCGAGAAACATCCCCCCCAGTTAGCCTCTACCGCAAACTCCTTCAATTTCCAAATTAACTAGTCTAAGGAAAAGGAATGACACACAGCATTTATCAGCTAATGGTCCAAATATTCACACAAGTCCCCATATTGAGTCCATAAACCAGCAAGCTTCCCTATTATGTATTCTCTCTTTTTTCCCTTTTTTTTTCTTTTTTTTCTTTTTTTTTTTTAAAGCACATAATAATATTTGACACACGAAAACTTAGTCTCTAGCCGCCGGAGCCTTTTGACGCGAACTCCAATATTTTTAGATGAAGGAGCCCGGTTACTCAACTCCTACCGCTATGCAACCACGTACTCATATTAAGTACCACCTTTTGACGCGAGAATCGACACTTTTAGGTGCAGATTCCCGGTTACTCGG